GATTCCTTGGCCTGCCGTCTTGACCCGAATAGAACGCATGCCCGGTCGTTACTGCTGTATTTGGTTTGCCTCTTTGGGCAAATTTCAGTCCAGATTCAGCTATAGTGATCGGGTAAAGACAGTAGTCCAGTTTGTGCGCAGATCAAGTTGAAATGCGCAGACATGAGTTCAAATTCCGATGGAATCAGATGAGGATTTACGAGGAAAGGATTGTGTGATTCCTTCCTTGAGCTGTATCTGGTATGGCGGTGTACAATACGACGATATGTGAATTTCAATTTGACAATTTTGGAGGCATTGCTTTTGGCCCTTTTGGGTGAATTTGGACATGTTGCGTAATTCAGGTCTGAGCTCAGATGACTGTTGCCCCCACATCCCTTGTGTGTGTGCTGGATGTGCCAACAGAGGGAGATGCATGTTCTGATGCGTCGACTGCAGAGGAGGTTTGGCAGCCTGGCAGGTGGACATTCTGTGATCTCTCCGTGCAGCCACACGCCTTTTTGAGTAAGGATGGATCCAGCTCAGTAGATTTGCACATACTCTCAAGCTGTCTGTCAATAACGCGAGGAGAAAAAAGCGGCAGCGCAATGCAGATAGATTTCACTGTGTAAAGTTGTAGACGTTCAGTGGCCGTGTTCTGCTCGGATGTTGCTGTCGGCAATAAGGCTGGGAAGGGCAGTCGGTCTGCCTGGCGCTTGATGGGGCATGAATTTCAGGGAAAGAACTGCGCACGCTGGAGCTGGTGCACACCTGCAAAGTGAATGCAGGCTCTGCGGAGGAGGGGTTGACGCTTTTGCAGAAAGTGCATCTGATTGCACACCGTCCCGGGCCTATTGTATGGTGTAGGGAAGGTAGAGTATCCACCTTGCCCCACCGCACAACACTATATTTGTATCCGAAACCCGTGATTGTCCCGAGACATACAAAACGTTTCGCTCCTCCCTCCCAATGCACCTGGTCGAAGGCAAATGCATGTACAATGTTGAGTAGTGGAGTGAGTCCCCACGGCTTGAGTATACGTTGGGACTTGTTCGTCTGGTGTAGCTTCCCCCCCAATGGTTTGCACAGTCCCGACGGCTTGAGTATACGTTGGGACTTGTTCGTCTGGTGTAGCTCGCCAATGGTTTGCACAGTCGTTGGTCCCTGTCGAGGCACTTGCCTGATGTTGTTCATATTATGTGATTCGTTCAATTTCGTTGTGTTTTACACTCCCGGCTTTCCATCTTTAAGGTAGGAAACCAGCGTGAGTTCTCGTTCCCTCCGCATCACTTCGCCTCTTTGCCTTCCCATCTCCCCTTTTGTCATTTCTCTCTGCGAGAGGCATTCACACATGCGCTGACAGAGGAGCATTTGAAGGACGACGAAATTGTACATGAAGTTTTGTAGTAGTGCACGCACACCCAGTTTGCCTTTAGTTGGGCAAAAATGCATGGGACAGGGGAGAAGTGGTGCACCGTCCTGGTGTCCAGTCAAAAGTGTCTCCATCACGCTGCTCCTCCAAACAGATGCTTGAAAGGCAGTGTGAAAAGCTGGGAACTGCGCCATTTTGCTACCACTGCTTCAGACATGGGTAATGTGAAGATTGATCCTGGCGGCCGCTGGTCGAAGGTTGTGTTGTCCCGAAGCATTCGAAATGTTGGACTCCTGAGCACGCACCTCATCAAAGGAAGACTCTAAATGTATGTACTGCTGACTGATCCTGGTGGTGGTTGAAGGTTGGGTTGACCCGAGACATTCAAAATGTTGGACGACTCGGCACGCGTCTAGTCGAAGGCAGCATGTCCTGCTGACTGATCCTGGAGGCACCTGGGCGAAGGTTGTGTTGTCCCGAGACATTCGAAATGCTGGACTACTCAGCATGCACCTCGTCTAAGGCAGGGTTTAAAAACTCTAAATCCATGTACCGCTGACTGATCGTGGCGGAAGCTGGTCGAAGGTTGTGTTGTCCCGAGACGTTTGAAATGTTGACTACTTAGGACGCACCTTGTCGAAGGCAGACTCCAAATGCATGTACTGCCCGGTGTGACGTTGGGAAGTCCTTTTCACTTATGCTGCTGCAGACGTGGTAATGTGAAGACTGATCTTGGCGGCTATGATTTGTGAGCTGAGATCTTTTGTGGAAGGTGATGCTTAGTTTTGGCAGTTGGTGGGTAGTCGCTGGCACAGAAGTGTGTCCTGTATTTGAATGTGATTGATGGAGTACGATTGGGAGGAAGAGTATATATATATATATACCAATAGAAGGATTTTTTGCAAGACAGCAAGTCAACAGATCATGGTGTTGACTGCAAGGCCAGTGATGGATGATCTGGGAGAGAGAGAACAGCACAGAGAACTGATGAGAATGGACCTTCACCGGAGGGAATTTTCAATCCCAGGTTATTTTGGTGTCAATATTGCCGAACCCTGCCTCCTGAGAGAGAGAGAGAGAGAAGGGTTTGATGAGGCTGCTATGCATCTGAGAGGGATGCTTGCAGGCCTTGCTGGGTGGCTAGAAGGGCAGGGAGAGAAGGGGGTGTGGAGGGGGTCGGGGGTGCTGCTTTCTGCGGGGTGAACATGTATCACTACTAGAAAATGTGATTTGGGGGGGGTATGCATTTGGAAGGGAGTCGAGGCACGTGTGCAGATCCTGCAGAGTCAGTCCCGCGTGAGCAGGAAGACGAGCGACGGCCGGGGGGAAAGGACGCCGGGGGGGGGAGAGGACGTGGGGGCCCTGATGAATGATACGATCATCTGCGGATGTAGTATCAATGGTACAAGGTGGAATTCAGCATGCAGCTGGAGTTGTGCATGCATATTTTGTGTAAACACTATTAAACGGGGGGTCGACGAGCAGCCGAGGGGTCTGAAGAAGAGCGGAGGGTTGACCTGCAGACAAGCGGAGGGTTGACCTGCAGACAAGGGGTGTCAAGAAGACCGTTAGCAGACTCGGATCGGCACCACAAAGGTCTGATGCGGTCATGTATCTGAGTTTCTGAGGGATGCGGATGCGTCCACATCCCGCAGCAGTGGGATTCAATAATAGGGCGCAGAGGCCGCGGAGAGGGTGTAGATGTGATGGATGCTTCAAACTGTTGTTTCACCGTTCGCACCTCAACAGAGGTTGGCGTCGGAGATGGATTTTGCTGGATTGTTTCCTTCAATACCAGCACACGTTGCCGGGCGTCTTGATGGGAGTAAGCAAGAGTCCACGATGTGTTTTTCCTGCTGCGTTTGCTACTCGTGGTAATTGTCTTGTCTGCGTCGAGGACTGCACTCGGGCTATTTTTTTTTCAATTGGCAGGAGGCCAGGTCTTATCCTTCTTCTAACTTTCCAAGAATTTGTGCGGACTATGCACTTGTTTGGTGGCGGTATGTGTGTGTGAATGAATTGTTGTATTGTGTTGTAGTGTTGTACATGTTTTTTCCCATGCCAAATTTTAAGTAACCTTTTCTACTAAGCTCTGGCTCTGGACGTAATTGCGACCAGTTTCATCCAGGTGAGGCAATTATTGCAGTCAGATACACTCAGGGAAGTGCTATGCTAGTGTGGGTATGTGCTGATGGTCTCTCTCATCCTGTTTGAGAGCTGGGCTGACCTGGCACACTGGTTGTGGTGCAGCAGCCCAACCTACGGCTGCAAATGGTTCCATTGTTCGGTTAGGGTTTACTTGCCCTTGTTGCAACCGGGGCTCGGTTCAAAATGCAGGGGCAAGCTGCCTCCCTCTACCTGTGCATTGATCAACGTGAACTGGTGATGTAATTTGTTATGGGTATGTGGCAGTGTGGCAAACAACAAGGTGGAGCGTAGAGAAACCAGTCTCTCTCCGTGTGCGTATGATACTTGATTGTCTGCTTGTGATGAACCTATAATGTGAATTGAGTGCTGTTGCTGCTGTGCAAAGCTCCTTGGAAAGATGTGTACGTTCCTGGGCTGCCAGATATCGAGCATTGGCGCATTGTGTGTGAACAACGTCGGCATGGTTTGACTTACCGGGCGTCGCTCCACTACTCTCGACATGCACGAAAGACGAAAAATAAATATGACTTTGTGTTGCACTATTTACAAGTAGTGGAGCGAGCCCCACAGCTTTTTCTCGGCATGCCCCATGTGATAAATAGCTAGCTTTACGGTCGGATGGCTGGTCAGGTCCAGGAAGGAAGGTAATAGGTTCAAATAAGGAAGGGCTTACGGTGGATGCCTAAGTACTAAGTGACGAAATGCTTCGGGGAGTCGTGGGGCTGGTTCCAGGTTTGTGTTCCTGGTTTGTTTTGCGGTGCAGAGAATTGATCCAGGTCCCATCATCTGCGAGATGCCCGGATAACTTTGCCGGTTCACCAAGTTGCTAGCAAAAAGGTGATCCAGGTTTGCGAATTCGTCCATGGGACTGTTCGTGGTTCCTTCGTGGAATTAGCCCGGGAACTTTCCGTGTACCAGCAGCATAAGGTTTTGTTTGTTTGCTTTCTTTCTCCCGCAGCACGAGCTTTAAACCACTACCTCCACGTTTTTAGGCCCGTTAATGTGGTGACTGAATGGCGTGTGCCGTGCAGGTCCATATGCATTTGCCTCAGAGCCTCCCCATAGACCCCCTCTGGGTACAGGTGGTTCAAGTGGTAAATGAATCGAATTTGTCCATCTGAACGTGTTGTGTTCCGGTCTTCCGGACCATCCCACTGATTTTTTTTTTCCCTCTCTTCTCCTTTGTTTTCGTCTTTCTGAATTTTTCACACTTGTCGCAGAAGACCCTTCTTTATGCCCAATTTTGGGGATTCCTGTGTCTTTATTTGAACCGGTCTATATATTTCTACGGGTCTGTATCACTGGCAAACCTAAGAAGTGCCTCTGTCTGCAGGACTGTATGGTCAACATAATAAGACCCTCTGTTTTACAAAGGTGCGAGCCTGTTATTGGAGTGCCTCTGTCCGCAGACGTGCTTCTCTTTCTCTCTCTCTCTCTCTCTCTCTCTCTCTCTCTCTCTCTCTCTCTCTCTCTCTCTCTCTCTCTCTCTCTCTCTCTCTCTCTCTCACACACACACACACACACACACACACACACAGAATTTGAACAACAAAACAACAAATTAATCTCACACAGAAGCGGTCCTCCTGTGACACTCCTGCAGGGCCCAGGAAAAATGGCACTGGAGTTACCGCGCGCGCGATGCCACGGGGGATTGAGGAGGAAAACTGGAGGTCAGGAACTCGAAAAAAAAGTGGGGCCGACGTTTTTCCTTTCTTGTTTGGTTTTGCTCACTCCCTCGTTGGTTTTCCTCCTTCCTGCGTTGGGCTGATTCTTTCTTTTTGTGTCTTTTTCTGGCTTCATGAGCCCTTGGCAGGTTGGTTTCTTTTTTCATCTCCTTTGTGGACCATTTCCCGATTTATTTGCGTCATCTAGTTTTTTCGTCGATTTCATCGTGTGTCGTCCTTGTGCAATTTGCTATTATTCCATTGATTCCTTTTCATATAGGAAACTTGTATCTTTCTTTTACTAATTCATCTTTGTTTATGCTACTCGCTATTAGTGTAGTTTTGCTTTCATTTCATTTTGTCACCATGAATGGAGGTCATTTATTTGGTACCCAATGCCTGAAATTGGTTGGTATACTACCATAATGAAGTTACCTTTCAATTTTTGTATTTGGATAATGTGGATAGGTTTTGTTTTGGCTTCTTTTTTGGAGGTTTCCGAGGTTAGGGACCATGCTAATCGCCTTTGTGGGCGTCGCCTCACCACTCGTGAAATTTGAAAAAAAATAAAAAATGTGGCGGTTGCATCTGGCCGTGTTCAAGTGGAAAGTTCATGCTCATTTTGCACATTTGGGGTGGGGCGATGTAGCTTCTCTTTTTGTTTTTATAGGTCTTGTAAATATACCAATAATGAAATTCTCTGTAAATTGGTGGCACACTTGCGTAACGTATCGAAGTCATTGGTTTATGATAGAGACGATTTTGGGCAAAATAAATTCCCATGGTGTGGCGGGCGGTGTGTGCAAGGCGTGACTCGTTTATTGATTCAGTTTTAACGGATGTCCCGATACACAGTTAAGGTTTTGTTGTTTTCCAATCCCATAGACTCGGTCAGTTGTCCTTTTGTTTTCCTTGAGACCATTGTCTTTTTTTTTTCCCCTTTTTAAGCGCCTTTTGTCGCTTCAGGCTTGTTGTTGATCTGCAGGGCAGACGGGAAGGATGCCCACAACAACGGTACTAGAACCAGGCTAGTACTTTCTGCAATGTACCTGGACAATATAAGGGCATATGTGCAATGCTGTTCCGATCTGTCTGCGAATAGCCCCTGCACTTCCGGTTGAAGCAGACGTGAAGGACGCCCACAATGATGGTACTAAACCCAGGCTAGGACTTCTGATGGTGCATCTGACCGGAATTACAGTCACATTCAGTCTTAACTTGTACATGTCTGGCAATGACCTTGAGACACGGTGTTCTACAATCAGGGAAAACTCATGTTGGGACTCTCTGGCATGCATGTGATAGCAAAATTGCGATCAGATTCAGCCAAAAGAGTCTCTCTCTCTCTCTCTCTCTCTCTCTCTCTCTCTCTCTCTCTCTCTCTCTCTCTCTCTCTCT